CCTGCTGAAGGCATCCTTCAAGGGGCAGTCTGCACCTACCACAGAAGAGGCATTTGGAAAAGGCGCCATAGCAGGGCTGGGGCTGATGGAGAACATCTCAGCTGGCACGGGGAGAGCGCCAGTCCAGTGCTGCTTGGCCTGCTCCTCCCTGCACAGTCACCCCAAGCACCGCTACAGGCACCCTTTCTACCCGGTGAAGCTACAATCTCCAAAGAGTAGGCAGAAGCAGAAGTGAGATTTTTCTCTCCAGCTGAGAACATCTACTTGACTAGTTTATGACTAACAGCTTTCCAAAACCTCCCCATCTCAGGAAACTCTTTTTCAAGGAATCCCAGCTCTTAAGAAACGCAACCCTTTTCTGCTCCCCGTAATACCAACCCAAAACAAAGAGGCTGCAAAGAGTAACATGAACTACCAGGTATTCTTTTACAATAGTGTAAGAACTGTGTTGCTAGACAGGGCCCCAGGTAGCACAGTTACAAACGGCAAGGTCTTTCAGCAGTTTCCTTAGGGCCCAATTGAATAACGCCGCATAACCACTGCAGAAACAGCCTACAAAGTCAGGCTAGACAGTGCTTCCCTTCTCTCTTGCTTATTTGGAAAAGCTGTTCAGAGAGAAGCATTCCATACCTTCACCCCAACCAAAGCTAAGCTCTGATCCACCTCCTCCAGCCAAGCTTTCACAGCCAAAAGCCTGACCTCTGTGCCGAGGGACTGATACCTCCAGTGCTGATGCTATATAAATTACACGCAGCTGCAAAATACAAGACTTCCTTCTCCCAAAGAAATCCCACTATAAATCAAAGAAGATATTTACTTGGAGGAACAAAATCTTCCTTTTCTGGTTCTTTGCCCTGGAAGAAAACAAAGATCAGTCAAACATTTCCATTCCTGCGACACACATGCACAAAAGACACAATTTATACCCCTGCTCCAGAGAAAATGAATGCTGAAGTTACAAAGGTACTGAAAAGGCACCGAAATGGGGGAAAGGAGACAAAGGATGAGAATCAAAGCGGAAAGTTCACCTTTGCTATGGGAATATGCAAGAGAAGCTGAATGGGGAAATCTGTTTTTACTAATACCAGAGGTGTTAAAGGCAACAGGATCCTCTTGATTAGCGCTGCAGAGAAATCAGTACATGAATGAGCTGCGTTCCTGCCTATTATGGGACTGACCCAGAATATGGAGAACACAGCAAAAGCAGAGGTACAAAAAGTAAAAACCAGAACGAGCAACAGCCAGATGCAATAATTTACTTTCCTTCAGGCCAGGAAGCCTTTATGCCTCTAAGACAAGCTCACAGCAGACAATCGGTGACTTTCTTACAGAGGGATACCAACTCACTTTGCGCAGACTCATCTGCCTTTTGTAGAAATTGTCCCACTCCCGTTTCCGACTCTCTTCATTGGCTTCCTCCCCATTCCCACTGCTTTCTTCATCATACCTGGACAAGGCAGGAAAACAAGAGGACCAAACATTCCTGTAGCTGCAGCATTAACTGGGGGACAGGCTTTGGAAAGCCTAGGTCATCCCCGTATTTACAGAAGATGATGTATTTCACATCCTTTCTGAACAAGTCGTAGCTTTAATTTCACTACCATCCCTCAACCTGGACAGTACTGACCATCCTCCAAAAATTCATGGGATTTGTTAATCCCATGACCTAGTCAGCAGTAGCATGAACTAGTAGCACATCATAACTAGTGCTCTGAGAACAGAGGGCTCCGTTTCAGAAGCTCTGCCAGCTTCTCCCACGGAGTTGAGGAGTCACTTGTGTCACGGACCCCATCTGTCAGCCGTTACTGCCCCGGGAGCAGGGATGGCAGAAAGGGCAACGCATCCGTTCCTCAGCCTCAGCTGCTCCCAGGCCGTTGTATTAAATGAAATCCCCATCACCAATGCACTGAAATGCAGCAGCTGATTCTCGCCAGATGTAGCCCAAGAGTTCACTGCCTTCCACAGCTGTCAAGGCCAAAACTTACAGGCACCACAAACCAGAGCTTTAAGGCTGTTGACTATTAAAACCTCCAAGGCAAAGCTACAACCAAGTCACAGAGAGGCTCAACAAATCAAGTGGCGAACTGTGTTGTACCACAGAATTGGTCCTGTCTTAGGTCCTGAGATCACACACAGGCCTAGGTCACAAGTACACCAGTTTCCTCTGACTCGGCTGGACTTGCCTGAAGTCCAAAGCTACCAGTCTCAAGCTGTTTAAGGTAAAGCAGAGGGCTAGGCCAGCCGACAGCGCTGCGCGCCCTGGCAGAGCGTCACCGGCAGCGCAGGCAGCGCAACTTGCATCCTGGCAGAGCTGCACAATCGCTGCAACTCGGCCAGAGAACAAGGAGGGAGAGAAGTTGTCATCTCCACGCTGCCAAGCTTTTTACAGAATTAATTATGTTTCCCACTGCACATCTTCCTTTTGCTGTCAGCCTGATAGGGAAACATGAAAATTTAGCAATCTGCAGAAGAAGCGGACGCTGGCACTCCACTGCATCCTCTGTGATGACTAAGTCCTGTCGGTGCCCCCCAGCCTGCTGGCCCACAGACAGCCACACGACATCAGGAACGAACTCTGGATCGTGTCATACTTTGCTGTCACGTTGGTCTCAATTTAAACATTTTTGATCCTCGTGACTGTGAACGGACTGAGCCCACTTACTGCTTTCATAAAACTCCAGGCTAGTTTCTTGAACCAGTTACATTCTGCAGGGCAATTCTTAGGTCACTCAAAACAGCTTTTGGCTCTCTGGGACATGAATGTGATCAAGGCTGCCAAAGTGTGTGGAAAATGAAATTCCAGCTCCTGCTGCCAGGAAGTTACAGGAAAATACCACCACACAGAAACATGTGCTGAAAATAGGAGTGGCTGGGCCTGCAGCTGGGAGATGCTCTCTTCTCTCTGATAGCTTCTATGAGCTGAGTTTGAGCCACCAAGTACAGACCTGCTAAAACCTCTGCAACCTCTCCGCCCGCCTTCGTACAGCTCTGGGTCATAGCCATCCCAGGAGGAACCCGCGGGCCCAATGCAGGTTTTGCTCCAGCTGTTGCTGCAGCGCTCCAGTGACTCCAGTTGCCGTTTCACTGCCGCTGGGTTCTTGCAGTAATCACAGCACTTGTTGCACGGCGGGGTGACATCGCCAAAGTACTTCGCTATGGCGGCATGGCGGCATCTAGGAAACAAAAGGGAAAATGATCTGGTAATTATTTTTCTTGACAAGAACTCCACCCTCCAAAGGCAACGTGTCTTCTGATAAGGACGCAGGAATCACAGGGATTAAGCCCTGGAGCAGAACTGGGGTTCTGTTCCTGGCATCCTACTGAAGGTCTCCCTGCCTCCCCTTCCCCACATGTAAAACAATGGTGGTGTCAATCTCTCCTGCTAAATGCTTTCAGATTTTTGAGGTCTGCAAAAGGCAGAGTGGATGAAATACGCAGTTATTAATTCTGCATCATTGGCCAAATACATTCCATGTCCAATCGGAACGTCTCTAGGGTAAATACGCAGAGAGGTCCTGCCGACCCCTGCGCCTCAGAGTTCAGAGTAGCTCTACATATTTCACACTGGAGAGCTGCTCATTTTGTTGTTCGTGGTTTGAAGGTGAACAAATCTGCATTTGAAGAAACAGGACTGTAAATTAAGCCACAGAAATAGAGTCCAGACTGCGGTCACCGGGGAGCACTGTTCAGATAACAGCGCCCGGGGCTCGACCCGCTAACACCCGCAGCCGAAGTCCGGGCAGAGTCCCGCATGCATGAACCCCAGGCCATTTGCTCACGCAGTATTGCACAACAAGCTCTACCAGCCTTAGCAAACCCGCCATGTGAAGATGATTAGATTCTTCCAGGAATCTTCAAAAGATTTCTGGCGGACATCAGTGCTTTTGGATACATAAAAAACAGTTTGGTGACAGAGATGTGCTCATTAGCAACACCGTCAGGAAGACATTTCTCTTCTAGAACACTCCCTAACTTAAACCAGTGAAGACACTGGTATTGCTAGAGAAAGAAGAATCAGGCGGTTGCTTTTTTCTTCTTTTTCCTTTTTTTTAAGAAAGCAGGCAGAACTTAGAGAAGCCTTTGAAAACTTGGGTTTCACAGCAGAGGTGGCCAGTTGTCTCTTAATCAAAATGCTGACACCAGATACACAGAAACACTTACTTCATCAAGCATTTAGCGCTCAAATCCTGCAGCCAAGCGGCAACGAGAGTTATTTTAGAAGAGAATTATTTTACTGCAAGGGAGAACAAAGTGGAGATTTTTCTCCTCTATCGAGGAGTGCCCTAGCTGGCTTACCAACTTCATCTGCAAAAAGTGGGCCACAGAGGGGAAAAGTAAGGGAGCGAGTACTTCATTTATCCTTATTATAAACCCTTTAAGGCATGTCTGAACTTGCCAGAGATCTAACAAGTGCAGTTTGCTTCTTAACTTGCATGCGTGCGTGTGTCTGGGGGGAACACCGCTGCGTGTCTACCAAAGCATCGCAAACAAACCCTGCCAGGGCCTACAGCGGGAGCTGGCGCGCTCATTCCCACGGCCTGGGAGGTGAACTTCCCAAGCCGAAGGGCGAGGGGAGCAGCGGAGCGGCAGGTTACAGACTACTGTCGCCAGAGCAATGAAACGGGTGCGCTGAAGCGCGAGGGACCTGGCGCTGCTCAGGTAAGGAGGGCTGCAACAGGGTGACGTCGTGCCGCACGGTCTCGGGCACCGAAAGCTTCGGGAGGGCTGCTACAAAGCTGGCTTTATATCCCCCTGCAGAGCCGCGCTGACTCGCTCTCCTCTTGCGCTCAAAGAGCTCCTTTCACATGGCGGGGAAGGGTGGGGGGACCGGGATGGGGACAACACATTCGATCCCCTTGTCCTGCCTTTCCAAAGGAGCTACTGGTGCTGCCTGTCCTGCCAATGCAACGTGACTACAGAAATGTCAGCGAGCTGCAAGTCAGCTTTTTGTTTCCCCAAAAGAAAACAGGCAGGCATTCTCATTAGTCCACGTCTCTTTCTCTCACACGCACTAATCCGTGTTAGAGTTAACCGAGGCATACAGCAATGGTCAAGCCCTCTCCTCACTTCTACAGCCTACTCGCCAGGCTTATGCTGGGGAGGGACATCCACAGCCACCGCTGTCCCTAACGCAAACAAGAGAGGTGCCCCAGGGGAGGGCTTTGGTAGAAGCAAAGATCGGCTCCGAAGTCACTGGAATTCAGAGAGGTTCTAGTTTCTAACCCATCAGGCTTGCAAAGCCAAGCCCTTTCCCTCCAGCCTCCCGCAACTGCCTGTATCTTCCCCCAGTTACCCAAATCGGGGCCGCGGCCCCGCTTTAGCCAGTGGGGCTCAGGAGTTGCGTCATAACGGAAATTCAGTTACAGAACTACGATTGCAGTCCTATAATTAGAGTCAAAAGGCCCAAACCAGAGTTACCAACAGGGATGCTGGGGGGAACCGCTGGATTAATGCTTAACTGAACACAAGAGGTCCTGAAACACAGTTTGTTATGCATTGACATGTGGCAAGAAAACTTCCTGAGTCACACGAGCATCTGAGTAATGCCCATGAGATGGAGAGCCGGTTTACATAAATTAATGGTAGTTTGTATTATTATACATGTCCTAAAATTATTTAATCTTTTAAATATGCAACTGTATTATTTGCCTCCCCCACCCTTCCACAGGAGTATGTATGAGCTGACCACCCGTCTTTAAAATGTCTAAACAAAATAATTATTTAATTTGAGACATCCCACCCTGGTTTTACATCATGGGATAGGATGAAGAGCAAATAACAATCAATCAGCTTTATTAACATGTTTTGGTCTGTGGCAATACATTTCAGGAAAGTGCTAAACTGGCCACGCGCCTGCCCGCACCGTGCCTCCTTCTCGTGCTCCTTGCTTTTGCATACTGGGTAAAACAGGAGCCCCAGTCCTGCCATTAACAGAAAGAGAGGAACTCTCAGAGGAGCAGGAAAGCCACATATCCCAAAAGCAGCTCTGCCTCTCCCAAAATACACCAGAAAAAAGCATTCCCTCATGTGAGCCAGAGGGGTACACAGCCTCATCAGAAAAGCTCCCCCCCAAAAAACCAGCAAGTCTTGGAATAAAGCCAAGAAATGAAAGCATTAAAAAGACAAAAATCATATGAGGACAACTTATTTACGTAGATGCCAACTGCTGAACAAAAGCCATTTAAGGAGCTTTATCAAATAGAGGAGCAAATGAGGAGGGTGATGAGGAATTACGACTTTGCACCTGCCTGGAGGGCTGGATGCTTTGTACCATCGGCCGAGCTTCCGCAGCCCCGGGACAAGGCGGGCGCAGCTCTCCCCGGAACACACGAAGCAAAACCCACGGCATCAAGAGAGTGACCTGGCCGAGGGCACGGAGCACATTCACCACCTCGGCGTTGCCCCTGCTGCCCTGTCCGCGGCGACCGCGCTGCACCCTCCTTGCCATTTCGTGCTCTGCCCCTTTGCAGAGCGCGAGAGCAAAGCTCCTTCCCCCGGGAGTCGGAAGGAAACCGGGCAGCAGGGAGAAAAGTTACTTGCTTTAACACCCCCCAAACTATTGCCAGGAGAGAGTCGATCCCAGTCCCGCTCCAGAAAAAGCTGCAATTAGAACGAAAAAAAGACAAGACTTTGGTAGGAGGAGAGGCACGGAGGAAGCGAGCGCCAAGCGCGGGCTCGGCTGCCTGCTGGCCCCCCCGTAACACGAACCTCCCCATCTCCGGGACAACCGGCAACAAAAAAAGGCCGAGACAACAGCTGGCTGTCAGCGGCGAGCGGAGAGGAGCCGAGCGGGAGCGAGCGCGAGCCGGGAGAGCCGAGGGATGACGTGAAAGTTGAACACGGAAAGAAAAACAAGAGGAGAAGAGTTCGCGGCGCAGCTGGGGTAAGGCTGAGCTATTGCTGGTGGTCGGTCAGCCGTGGCACCTTAACGTGCAGCTAGTTAGCAAGTAGCTGGAGCTTTTGCAGCTCTCGGTATGGTGAACTGCAGAATCAGCCGTTGAGCAGAGCTCGCTAGCCTGAATTTGTTTGCAAGGGACGCTCAGGAGCAAAGGCGGCGAGAGCAAAGCTTTTAATAGGCTTGCAGAAAGCTGCGCTGCAGCCGTCCGCTAACAAAAGGATCCAGCCTGCAGGCTGGCATTGCTTCGACAGGGCAGGAGTAAGAAACTTCTTCGCTGATTGGAAAGGCTGGCTGCTCAGTTTGCTGTTGCTGTTGCGGAATGTGACCTTAGCCGATAAGCAGGTCTAGCCCAGGGCATTCCCCACAGCAACGACTGGCTATACTAATGCTTAGTGCGAGCACGAGAGCTGGTCTGCTCCGCGGTACGAGTAGCGTATGCGCCATTGGCGAGGCGCTGCCAGCACAGGCAAGCGCGTGTGGAACCAAGGGGGTACCAGCCACAGCATTTCCCCAGAGCCCCTCCCAGCTGGAGCGAAGTTTTATCCCCCAAATCCTGAAGCAAACAGAGAGCTTGAAAGCAAGCCCTGGTCGTGGAACTAGCATACTGTGCAAGTAAAGCATCTGCGTCCAATAGGAATAAATGGAAAGATTTTATACAGCTTCTAACAAGAGCATTTAAAAAAAAAAAATCAGCTAGTGTATCAGGCACAGATGCTGGTTTACTATTCAAAGCAGCCTGAGAAACCACTGCTCTGAGAGAACACGTACATACACATACATGGTCTGTGGTGTACAGCAACGAGAGCGTCAGGTCTGAATGCAGCGAGAAGGGAAGGAAAAGGATCCCCCGAATACATGAAATTACCCGCTGCAAGCCTTGGTTTTACACAGAGGGGTGTCCCACAGCCTGTACTCCAGTCTTCGTTTGCGGCGGGCTGTGGGAAGGGGGCTGGCAAGGAGACTGACCACACAAGCCCGTTTTCTGCCCTCTGAGGCTGGTTACTGTTGGGAAGCTCGTGCAGCTCCTAGCACCGAGCTGGGACCCCCGCCTCTGCCAGGAGGAGCAGGGGCAGTCAGCTGTTCACAAACAGGGAGGCAGACAGACGTCTTCCCCATCCGAAGGGAGGAATGTTAAGGATCAGGTATTTCCACTTCTCTCCATTCCCATTAACGTGGAAGGGAGGGCAGGTCTTTCTGACCTATGTGCATGAATTGCAACTGCCTGTGTGAGAAGATCCAGTAGTTAAGACCCACACGCCTCCAGTCTAACCCTAG